CAACGGGCCAAGGTGGGTCAAAGGACCCTTTTGGGAAGCAAACGTTGGTCCTGTTTGGGCTTTGCTCCAGACATCAGGACAGAACGGGGCAGAAGGAGGTGAGGGTGCATGGGGCCTGGGAATCCTCCCACACAGCTCCATGGGGAAGAAGAGGAGTTGAATGAAGCAACAAGTTCCGCACACCTGGGCGACAGCCAAAACTTCACAGCATTTCCTCCTCAAACAACAGGAATTGATTTTTCTTTTTCTTCTCTTTCTATAAAGGTGCAGCATATCCCAGGTGGAAATCAGGTACCAGCCTGACACCAGCACTGGAAGAAGAAGGAGCTTGGAAGCTTGCTCCAGAGTGGAAACCTGCAGAGAGCAACACTTCTTCCCAGCTGCCAGAAAAGGATGCTTTTCCAATCAGGACTTGGACTTTCTATCACCCCATCTCTGCTCCCAAAACCCCATCCCAAAAGCATGGAGGGGAAAAGGACTAATGGAGCTGCTGATAGCCGGAGAGCAGATTGCAGAGGCTCCACTCCGTCTGCCCAGTGTTCAGACTACCTGTTCAGGACTACGAGATTGTACAGTAGTCTGCACATTGGTTAGGCTGTGCTGGGATACACCTCACACTGCCAGTGCTGCACGGGGACGGCATCACCTGCACGGCAGAGGGACATGCTTGGAGAGGGTGGGCTGCGGGCACAGCTGCATGCAAAGTTCACTCATCCCTCAGCCTGGGAGGATATAACCCTTTGGAGCCATGCTTGATGATCACTTTTTACCTGCCTGTCCAACCAGCCTACTCACAACCCTCTTCTTCCTCCCTCCCTCTCTCTTATCTCCTCATTTCTTTCAGTTCCATGCACTTGTCCCAGGGTAGCTGTGTTCAGGGTGGCTTGTGCTTCACATGCTGAACTTTGCCATGGAATGCAGAGATAAACACACGGGAGTTACAACCACACTGTGCTTTGCTACCTCAGGAGGCAGGATCAAGCACAGAAAGGTGACCGGAGAAAGGGGATTTCACATCGTAAAGAAAGCTGGTCATTTATATAAAGAAAAGCCCACAAAGGATTGAAAGTTGAAGGTTTAGATGCTCTGGAAGTTGTGTTTGCTTTGATGTTTGTCTGGAAAAGAAAGAAGAGAAACAGTGAGTGAAAGCATACGTGAGGACTGATTGAGTAAGATACTATCCATGAGAAAACATGCACTTGTGAAAAAAAGATGAGTGAAGGAATGAAAGAGCTCCACGGAGGATGTAAAGAGGAGGAACATGTTCCAGAGAGCACCTAGGTAGTATGAAAGCAGGAGAGGAAGAACTTCAGAGCAGACCTGCTCCTGCAAACCCCTGGCTGCAGCCAGACCCATCAGCAAGTTTCTGATCATTTGTGGGCATCAGAGCAAAGACAAAAGGATTTCTGCCAGCTGGGCTGGGCCTCAAGGACACAGACTGTTGGGGCGGGGGGTGTATGTGTATGTGTGTGCAGTGGGGGGACAATCTCAGTATTGATCAAAGTATTTATTTTTAAACTAGAATTGGGTACAGCACATTGACGGGTACAGAATAAGCAGCTATCTAGTGACTGCCAAAAAGGTCACATCTTCCCCAGGACAGGAGAGAATACCCTTGTGCTCCGAGCAAAAGAGAATGCATGAAGACTGAGAAATCAGAGGAAGAGCTCAAGCACAGTTGTTGCAG